CGGGACCATTATCATCGGCATGAGCTAGACGGAGACGGACCGATTCAATCCTCGCAGCGCGAGAATTATAGTTACAATTACAACAAAATTAGCGAGCCGAGCGTTCCGTTCACCACTGACTATTTTTAGTAGGAGACTTGCTAGTATTGCTGACACGTCGGAATTTTCGCACGCTGTTATTATGGGCGCCAGACACTTTAATCTTAGTTAGTTAGTCTTGCGTTGAATGTACTAACTTGTACTCAGGTCATTTTTGTTTATAAAACTGTTATTTGTGACACGTTGAAATGGCCCCACAAAGAAGTGAAATATGGTTTCACTTTGAGGTTTTAGTCGACAAAGTTTCTGCTAAATGTTTATACTGTAAACAAGTTTTATCAACGAAAAACGGGTCAATGGGGAATTTAAATCGGCATATAAAAACAAAGCATCCTACTATAAGCATCGCTAGAGGATCCACCCCATCATCGAGCACTCATTCACAGACAGCAGAACCATCATCAAGCTGTTCCCAAATTACAAAAACAACAGCAATTCAAGAAGAAGAAAGCGTGAGTGCCAGTGCTAGTAACGCTGGTACTAGCATAAATATTGGTGCTAGTAGCAGTTCTGCTTCTGTTAATTCCAAAGCTAATACTCAAAAAATCCAGTCTGATATTAGCCATTTTACATATTCAAACAAACCTTTATCCGTGATAAAAAATAAAGAAATAGATAAACAGTTACTGCGCTGGGTAGTTAAAGGCTATCATGCTTTTAGAGTCGTTGAGGAGAAAGAGTTCCAAAAATTTTGTGAAATGCTTTGTCCGAACTATAAAGTGCCATCTAGAAAAACTTTGAGTAATAATTTACTAGAGCAATTGTACCAAGCATCGCGAGAGGCTATTCAAGAAGAACTAGTTCACGTTAATTCTGTTTGTATAACAACTAGGGATGCCACCTTTTGCGAAATTGAAGTAAGGACAAGCAGTTTTGTGGTGGGGCCCGGGGGGGGGGGGCAAGGATAAAATAATGATTAAACAATTTTGAAACTTTATTTTCATGTTTACTTAAATTTAAATGTATATTTTTCGTTTCCTTTAGCAGCTATTAAGAGGTTACTATCATTTTTGGCGTATTCATAAAATTGTTCGCAGTTGTACTTAAAATTAAAATATATTAATAGTTCTGCGCGAATTAAATCAACAGAACACCTGTTTCTTTCATCTCTCCATTTCACATTCATAACAGAGAAACATCTCTCTGAAAATGCTGAACTGGCAGGTATGCTAAGAAGAAATGACACAATAGAAAATATATTTCTTGAATTCTCAATTCCTACTTCATTAAAAATTTTTTTCCATTTAGTAGCAGTATTTAGGTTAGAAAAATCTGGACTTTGTAAAATAAGTACGAAATTTTCAGAAATTAATGAAACTTCATTAAATAATGTATCCATATTTACATCTAGATTTGGATTCGCTATTTTTTCAACAATATTTTCAAAATCCTCATATTTGGGAAACGCACTTTTCAAATTTAGATGAGAAATTTCCGCTAGCCAACTTTCTTGAGAAAAATCAAAATGATTTTCAAGATAATAAAGCGACTTTTGAAAAAAAAATTAAATTCGTCGTGTAATTTAGTTTGTATTTCACTATTCAGTTGTTTTAATTTTTGTTTTGTTTCAAATCCGTAAAACCGATTTTCCATTCTTGATGTAATTTTTTTTTTCAATTCCGTCATAATCGTAAAAATATCAAGAGATGTGGTTTCGTTACATTCTAGTACTTTAATAGTTTCTTGGAAAACGTTTAAAATGTGATTACAAAAAAGTAAATAAATTTCTATTTCACCAGGTACACTATCAGAGTTTGTTTCAATTTTTAGTAACCGTTTAATGTGTAATGGACAATTTTCTAAACTCAAAAAATAACTGCATAATGCTAAATAACTTTGCAAAATTCTTTCAATACATGGGTTTAATGAAAGCCATCTAGTTCCAACGTGTCGAATTAATTCACGCCATTCGCAATTTACAAAGTCGTAAAATGATTTTAATTCTTCTCTGCGTTTAGCAGAAATTGAAAAATGGGAATATATTTTTAGTATTAAATTTTCAACATCTAATCCTAAAGACTCCATTGCATATTTAACGCAATTATGAATAATGTGTGCATGACAGTTACCTTTTAATATATGCTTGTTAACAGCAGTCATGTTTGTATAAAGACTGTGATGTTTGCCAAAATTGGAGTTTGTATTATCAGCGCTTAAACAAGAAACATTGTTCCAATCAAGTTTTAACATTTTCATACAGTTGTCTGCCATCATGAACATTCCGTCTGCGGATTCATCACTATTTTCACAAAAATGAAGCAAATAATTTTGCAAACCGTCTTTAAAGGTAAAAACTTGAATTGAAATTGGAAACAATTTAATATTTTTTCTATTAGATGCATCTAATTGAACAGTAAAAAAGAGACGGGGTACATGATTGTTTACCAATTCAATAACATTATCTAAAGCTTTTTTACCTAAAACATTTTTTGCAATCATTTCGCTTTTGGTTCGTCCGCATGATAATTTTGACGTAATACTTGAGTCAGGATAAATAATTTTATCTAACTTTATACAACAATCTAATCCATTGTAAGACTGATTATGTTTTACCGTATGGTAAATTTTACAGATTTCGGCTAAAATAATTTTTAATTCCTCTTTTGTGTCTTTTTTTACCACAAATTTATCCAGAAGCTGTGATCTTGTTCCTGCGGATAATTTCTTCGTATGCAAGCTGCAAGGAGGTTTGACTGTGTTTGATAACAGCCGATATTCCCATAAAACTCACTGTAAAAGAGTTGCAACAAATTTTGCAATATGCATCAGTGTTACTAGATGCTGGTTTTATCCATGAAAACTTCTTTTGCCATTCCTTATTGAAATAACAACGTCGTTTAAGATTTCTAGTCTTGGGAGGGGTTTGGGGATCAAGTCGACTAGTACCAGACTAAAATTATATCTATTAACTATAAAATATTTGACATATTTTAATTTTCATACCATTATTGGTCCCGTTTCAGCCACAGAATCGAAATCTGACATTTCTATTTCTACCTCTTGCTCTTCATGCTCCAAATCCCCTCTGGAATTGCTGGCAGTTGATAACTGGTCCAAAGGCGTAGGTTTCCTTTTCCCATCACACTGATTTCTCCAATCTGGATGATCCATTCTTTCTTGATGCTTGCAAAAATAAATTCATTAATCTGTATCAAAACTGCATTTTTATTATTTATAAGTAAGCATTTGACGTTGATTGGTTCATGGTTGAATACATTAATTTATAGAAATTATTCACCATGATTCATGATACGACACCCTGGCAGAGTGGTAACAGGTAAGGGTTAATTAAGCGTAACGTAAATTTAAATGTTTTCGTGTTTATATGATTGCGGAATGCGGAATAATTAATACTTAAATACTAACTTTTGCTTTAACTTTAGATTAGTATTAAATTAAACATTGAACACTTACCTGTTGGCTGTTATATATAAATTATAATAACAGCTACCGCTACGCTAAGTAAAAAAAACAACACAATGCAATGCAAAAACGAGAACTAGAGTGCAACCTGCAACCTGCAACTGACTCACGTAAACATCGCATAAATTATCCTTTCATATCTAAAAATAGAAAAAAGAGGCGGCGACGGTGAGCGCGAAAAGCAAGAGGATTGCTTCAACTAAACGAACGCAACCGACGCGACGCGAAGGTCGTAAATATCAAAACAAAACAATAAATTAGCGTGTAAGGACGTTTGAAGAGAAAATAAGGACAGGTGGCAACCCTAATAACAACTGATAGCTGGACCTCCTCAAACAATGACAACTTCACTGCCATAACTGCTCATTATTTAAGTGAGGAAAAATCGCAGTTAGTTTTAAAGTCGCGTCTGTTGGATTGTTTTCAATATGATGGTAAACATACTGCAGAAAATATTTCCAGAATTTTGACTGAGAAGTTTCGCGAGTGGAATATCCAAGAAAAAATTGTGTGTGTCGTTAGTGACAATGCAGCTAACATAATTGCAGCTGTACGAGAGGGTGGATGGAAATCTCAACGATGCCTTGCTCATTCAATAAACCTGTTGGTTCAGAATGGTTTAAAAACAATCGATCCTGTTTTAGAAAAACTAATAGCAATTGTAGCTTTTTTCCAACGTAGCTCTACAGCGCTTGCCAAATTAAGAAAAATTCAAATCCAAATGGGTTTACCAGAAGTGAAACTTAAACAAGACGTGCGTACCCGATGGAATTCTACTCTAGATATGGTTAGTCGTGCGTGTCAAATAAAAGATCCCATTATTTCGACTTTGGCATTGGACTCACCCACTTTAAACGTGTTAACTGCAGAAGAATGGTCAATGTTGGAGCAGCTAGTTGAAGTACTAGAGATATTCAAAGATATGACTGATGAGATAAGTGCAGAAAAATCAGTCGCCTCGTCAAAAATTTTCATTTTTGTTAAAGCTATATATTTCCATTTAAAAGATTTATCAATAAAACTAAATTTTCCAAACGAATTAAAATGTGTAGTGACAGAAATGCTAAATCAATTCTATAAGCGGTTTGGTGACATTGAAAATAATAATCTTCTGGCAGAAGCAACAATTTTAGATCCGAGGTTTAAAAAATACGGATTTAAAGACGAAAGTAAATATTTAGCCGCGGTTGCGAATTTGCGAAAAAGGTTAGTGCTAATCGAACTCTTCACGCAAGTGAAAATAAATCTTCTGAAACGCAGCATCAATGTGAGGAATCAATTCCGTCTTCAAAAAAATCAAAACTGTGGTGCGAATTTGATGAAAACATCAGCAACGTGTTACCCGACCAGAATGCTACTGCTGCGGTTATTATTGAATTAGATCGATATTTAAGTGAGCCTCTCCTTAAAAGAGACGGAAATCCCTTGGATTGGTGAATATCACGGCAACACGTATACCCCAATTTGTTTGAATACATGAAAAAACGATTGTGTATTCAAGCTACTTCCGTTCCATGTGAACGAACCTTTTCTAAAGCTGACCTAGTGTTGAATGAAAAACGATTATCCTTAAAAAGTTCTAGAGTGAGTAAGATTCTATTTTTGAATGCAAATTTAAAGTATAGATAGTGGTATACCTACAATTAAGTTTTTATTTGTCGTTAGAATTTATTTTAAGTTGTGAATGTTTTTTGAATTAGGTGCCTATCGCTAGTTCAATTCTATTATTTCTATTTTTTATCTATGAAGAAATATTTAGTTTACAAAAATGTCGTTTATTTTTCTTTTTTTTCTATTGTAAATGAATTCCTTTAATTAAAGATCAGTTATATTATTTTTTGTCCCAATAAAACAACGTGCTTGTACTGCTTTTTCGATCCAGTTCGCTAAAAAATACCAGCAGACTAGCATAAGAACAAGTGAACTAAATGAACTAAACTTTTGTACTATTCACTTGTCTGATCGAGATCGAAATCGGTAAAGTGAACTAAAGTTCCCAGCTCTAGTCCTAACCACTTTAGAGAAAGCCTCTTTGCACTTACCACAGTTTTTGTTTAATTTTATAATCCTAACTTAGAATGCCCATGTGTGTTGATTTTTTGTTTGCTGTTTGTTGCAGAGCTACATGCAAGAATTTCCATTGTTTTAAGCTGTGCAGGCAGAATTGCGGGCGGAATAACTGTAAATTTTTCCATTTAAGTTCCAATGACTTAATGGACCTAATTATGCAGGCCAGGCCTTTTAATCGAATTTTACAAGGAGAAGTGGATCGAGTAGCACATATTTACACGGCCAATGACACCACGGGGAAATACTGTGCCGCAATTTTGTGGGGAGGAGAATGCAAAAGCGATTTCTGCAAGAGGTGCGCACCACAACCAAGTAAGTGAAACAGTATTATACCGAGTGCTCTTTTTTTTCAAATGTTCGATCGGTCACTAAGTTAACCAGCTGTAAAAATCTAAACTTTTTGTATTTCTGTAACATTTCCTTTCACATTCTACCTATTTCTCTACATAGTCGCCAGTCCGATTTAGGCACTTGTAGCATGGTGCAGACTTTATAAAACAGTCCTTATAGAACGCAGCCTCTAAGGCGCGGTTCCCACTGGAGCGATCCCGTATAACCATGCGATATAGGTTTTCGTGAACTGTATAGAATAGTCTATATGCTATAAAGATTTCTCGATAAAGATCTTAACTGTATATCATATTTATTATAGAGTATAACTAAAGATATTCTTTAAAGATGTATGTTTTATTTAATCTATACAGCGATTATACAGCACTATCTGTATATATTTTTCTGAATAGAATATATGCTGTAAATTTATCGCACATATAAAGTATTCTTATATACACAACGACATTTCAGTACAGGTCATGGGTAAAAACACTTTACTGTTGTGGAAGATATATGCCTACTTTATTAAATCTATGTGTATTCTATACGAATAGCTATAATTATCCTCTACTAAATAGGTATTAATTCTTTACCTAATCGATACTATATTTCGCCATTTGTACACAAATCTTTAGTAACGTTGAATTATAGACGGGGTAACTAACTCATTAGTGTAGGAAAATAGGATAGTATAGATTCTGTTCAGTTTCCTTTACTGAATCTGTATAAAAGTTGCCTTTCGGAGTTGCGCGTGACAAGCTTAGCGAGGTTATGTCATTTTGTTATTGATAGACAAGTCTCATTTCACGTGCGAAACGAGTGTAATTACAAATTACCTAGTGCCGAAGGAATATGGAGACGTACACTGTGTACCAGTTTATTGGAACTAGCGACACGTGTGTGTTAGCTACAAGTTGGGTTAAAGAAGGGCAGGTAAAGTTTTCGAAAATCCATTATGATATATCTATATGTGTTTAATTTTTTAAGGTAAAATACGATAGCAAAAAAGCATCTGATTATGCCAAAAAGGGAAAAACACCTTACAAAAAATGGACTAGCTATAAAGTTGAGCCAATTTGTACTAAATTGTTCGGTAAAGTAACTATATGTACATCTAATTTCTAACTTACTTTCAAATACGAGTACCTATGTACCTACCCTTGATAAATAAAATTCCTCTTTGGCAGATTCTTATGATGCTGCTTATAGGGCAGAATCTGTTTTATTGGAAAAATCTGACTTAGAATCAACCGACATAGAAGCGATCAACAACCCCACACAGGTATTAGATATAAAAAGACGAAAAAATAAACGTGTAATTCCAAATTGTACCAGTGCTAGAGATGAAAGTGAGCTATCTTCTAGTGAAGATGAGAGTGCCGTTATTGGTCTTAATCTACCCCCTGCACCTGATACAACACTAATAACTATTAACGAAACTGTATCAACTGAAGATCCAGCGAATTATATTCCCGTATACGTGAATAATAATGAGCCTGAAACGGATTTAGGTAATAATGGCATTTACAAAGAAACACCCTCCGAAACACGCATTGAAACAAACTCAATTGATATAACTGACATCAATGATGTTCCATTGTCGTTAGCCACTGAAAGACAAGTTAATGATATAAAAGAATTAATTATTGTACAAAATACCAAAATAGAAAATCTTATAGCACTGGTAAATGATATGTCTAAATCTAAACAATTTAAACAACTTAAACGGGGTAATGAGAAAAATACTGATGCTAATGTGACAACAGCAACGAGATGGAATTTTCCAATGCAGACCATTGATGATATTAAGAAGCTTGACGAAAGTTTGAAAAGTGGAGATGATGATAGTGTGAAAGAATTTGTAAGTAGTACTTGATACCATTGTGCAGAAACAGAAACTGTTTTTGGGTGTATTACCTTTATAATAGTATATACCTACCTGTATATTTATTACTATTATTTGTTTTCAGAAATGTTTTATTCTTCAACTTGGGGGAACTACTTTAAAAACAACAATTAAATTTATAATCAAAGAACTATATTCTATAGAATTACAACAAAATCTAAATTACTCTGGACGGGAGAATAAGTTTTCTACAAAAGATTTAGTTCAAACAAAATTAATCCTTGGTGAGTAGCCAACATTTAAAATGATGAGCTGTACAAATTAATGTTTTATTTTTTATTTTACAGAAGCAGTGCAACACAATACACGTAGAACTCAGGTTGAGGCTATCAACGAATACATGTATCACATGCAGCATGTAACTGATCGGGTTCGAGCTATGATGAAGAAAAATAATAAATAAAAAAAATACGTGTATTTTCTTTTAATAAAAATACTTCAGTTCAGTTCAGTTTCAGTTTAATTCTTTTCCTTTGGCATACAACAGTACATAGGACGCGTCATACATAAAAAAACATTAACTCACGTGACACAACATATAGATAAGTTAAAATTATGTAGATGAGTATCACAGGTTCTTACATTAGACATTCACGTAACAACATAAAAAAGTTAAAATATCACAGGGTTTTACAATCATCAACGTATTCGTTGATGGTGTAGTAACATCTTGTTGTTAAAATTTTTTTTGTTTTTCTGCTGAACTGTTGGGCCGTTGAGCATGATTTGAAGTGTTCTGGAAGCAAGTTGTAAAAGTGAATACCGGCATATACAGGAGATCGTTGCTTATAAACGTAGCAAAGTGTGATTTATAGGTACAACAAAAAAATTGTTTGCATCTTCATTAGGAAGGCAGCACATTTTGCATATGATTGGGTCTTTTGTTAATGAAATTATCGAAATTTTATCTTCAAAATGACCAAGGAAGAAATAAAATTGTTTATAAATTTCTGTGTTGATTTTTGAGAACACACTTGAATTTATAAAAATTTGTCCTTCAATCACAATAGTACCATTTTGTTTTTAAAAAAAAATCACCTTAATAACTCTTAGTGCTCAACATTACACAATTATCACTTTTCCGATTGGTATGAATTTTAAAATTGTGAAATGATGCTTTTATAAATTTGTTGCCTCCAATAGGATGTGTCAACGTTGGTATATTATGTATTGTTTGCAATTTCCTGATTCTATTTTCACATTCAGAATTAGTCGGATGTATTTGTTTAAATTCACTCATTCTATTGGAGCACTGCTGTAATGGACGATTAAAACTGTGCAGTTTCTTTTTTATTACTGTTATAAAGGCTTCATATAGGTAGCAACTGTTTTCATCTAAAGGGCCAAGATATTTTGCATCTTCTGCCAAATGCAAAAGTCCGTGAAAATTGTAGGTAGCATTTTGTTTACCATAGAGCGTAATAAAATGTTTAACAAAATATTCCAGAAGTGAATGGGCATATGCATTGTATTTATTATGATATAATGGCGATGTCAATATTCGAATTGCCAGGCTTAAGGACATAAAATGCTCAAATGTTTCTTTAGATAAAACATTTTTTAGCACTATAGGTCCTGTGTAAAGCAATAGAACTCTACATTCTGATGCCTTAAAATAATGAGCATATTTGAAACTCCTTGGTTTCCGTTGAAAGTCATTAGGAGTATACGAGTAACACTTTTCAAGGTGTTGGTTAATAGCAATAACTCTAGAAGCTTGTAATTTCTGGGTACCTGGTTTACCTAACCATATATTCACTATTTTCTTTACAACGCCTTCATCAACCAAATGCATTTTATCAACAGGAAATCAGGTCTTTATCATATCAATGGGTAGTCGTTGTAAGACACTCCGTTCTTTGTTCATATGATGTCCAGTATCATCTTCCCCAGATGGTATTACCTTCCTAGTTCTAAAAGCTTCGTCGGTTCTTTGTTCAGACCGAAGATTGGGATAAACAATTTTAGTTTTATTTCCAGAAGACACTGGTTCCCCCTTGATATAACATTTTGAACAACAGTAGTAGCCACCATGACTTTTAGTAATAATAATAATAATAATAATAATAATGGTTTTTATTGGTTAAATAATGGTTCCTACACCATAACCAATGGGCACAAGGTCAGGTAAACCCGTTGATATGGTCACCTGTTCTTCCCCTTGAAACCCCCTTGTGTAAATACAAATAAATAAAGTTATTCTGCAATAGTTAAAGTTATTTGTAAAGTAAACAATTATTGACAGGCAGCTTATCGTTTGGAGATGCAACGGAAACATCGTTGTGGTTTCAATTACGTTCGCATTAACATTCGCTCTCTAATGATTCGATGTTTGATGTTTCTTTTGAAGACTGCAGCAGGCAGATACAGTAATTTTGTATTTTTAGGGTTGTTGCAAAATTTACAGATGTTGAATAAGAAAGATCGTTTGAATAATGATAATTTAAACATAGGAACAGATAGAAGTCTCCTGTGTCTCAAATTTAAGTGCTGCACGTCTGTACGAAAGTTAATTTTGCGGTACAGATACGGGGGAATTTTACTGTTTAATATTTTATGAAAAAATAAAGAAGAGTGAACTAGCCTTCTTTCCATCATATTGAGCCAGCCTAGCATTGGTAAGGTATGTGAAATCCGTTCGAACTTCCTAATTCCAAATATGAAGCGCAAGCATAAATTTTGGACACGCTGGATTCTATCACAGTCTTTGAGTAATAAGCACGGTCCATATACCACGTCACAATAATTGAACCGTGATAGAACCAGTGCATCACAAAGAACAGCCTTCTGCTTGATGCCAAGGATGTGACGACTAGAATACAAGCATATTAACTGATAATAAGCCGAAGCAATAAGGTTGTCAATGTGCTTAGTAAACCTTAATTTACAATCAATAGAAATGCCCAAATTTTTTACACAATCGGCTATTGGGACAGGTTGGTTACCAAGTTGCAAGATTATTTTGCCTTGAATGTGCTTTTTAAGTTTATCGCTACAAAACACGATGAAGCAAGATTTAGTTGCATTTATTTTCAAAGAGTGATTGTCCGATGCCTTGGCTACCCTTGCAAGATCTTCGTTGATCTTTGCCACAGAGGAATTCAATTCACTAAAAGGAAACGAATGATATAGCTGTACATCATCAGCATAGAGATGATACTTACAAAGGTTTAAACCAGTCAACAAGTTAAAGGTGTAAAGAGTGTATAACAAGGGTCCAAGGATAGATCCCTGAGGAACACCCCCTGTAACAGGCACAAGATCAGAATGCACGTGATTTAAAATCACTCTCTGGCATCTACCAACGAGATAGTTTTGTATAAGGACCACTGCCCCATCGCCCAGTCCCACAAACCTCAGTATAGCCTTAAGCACCTCATGACTAAGCAAGTCAAACGCTTTTGAGTAGTCAAGGAGTACCAATACTGATATGTTTCCACAATCAGTTTCCGTAATGATATCATCGAGTACGTTGTACACTGCAGTAGCACAACTATATCCCTTACGAAAACCTGATTGAAGTACGGGTAGTATGCTACGTGAATTTAAAAATTGTCGTAATTGACTTTCCAATACTTTCTCTAGCACTTTAGATAACGTGAGTAATATGGTGATGGGTCGAAGATCGTTATAACTTTCAGCATGTGCTTTTTTTGGAATAGGTATAACCCATCCTTCTTTCCACACAGTAGGAAATATTGAAAACTCAATGCAATAATTGACTATGTGCACTATGTGAGGCAATAAGTGCGGGGAACACAATTTCAAAATATCAATATTTATACCGTCACAACCACTGGCTTTTACAAAAGCCATGGCTGGAGCATCACATATAAGTAATAGCTTTTAACTTAACTGGATAAACTACTTCATTCCACAGAAAACCATTTTCTATTAAATCTTTCATTTCTTCAACAAATTCTGATAAATAATTATTGTAAGATTCGGGTTTTTGCAATCCATTAAATATTCCTACCATAAAGACATCAGGCTGTCCATTAAATACATTTGAGAGGCTACCTAAGATTGGCCAAAAAGTTGCTCCACCGCTTGAGGTGATGGGCGTTCCGTCCATGTTAAACGAAAACTGCAAGTATGGTAATTTTAATCTAAGCATATTGGCTCCAAAGCATTCAAAATGCGTATTGAGATAGTCTTTGATTCCCAAGTCAACATAATATCCATTATCCATACGACGAACGTTTACAGCTCTAGGTGTTCTAAGTAATGTTCTTGCATCCAATGGGAGCTCAACATGATTCCCGTCGTATACCAAAATTCGTAATAATTTAGAAATTTCAGTTAATTGAATATTCCCATTTATTGCCCATTCACGTAATTTATCAGAAAACGATTTATCGGTCCGCAAATGTTCATCAATTTCTTCAACGTTTTCATCAGACAATGAACCTGATGTGTCTCCTGAATTAGATGCATACTCATCGTCAATACTTGAATTTTCTTCGAGAATTTCACTTGCTATAGTACCACACTGATCGGCACTGATTACATTTGTTGCTTCTACATCTCGAACCAGTGTTTCTATAAAATAATCTTATTGTATTGAGTATTGGATAGGTTAGGTGTCCATTATAATCTTAGTACCTGTAATTGTCTTGTTTCGACGAGTTTGATATCCTCTCGACGTATCAGTTCGTACTTCTGCCCAACGACGACTATCTTTAGTTTTCGGCATGTCAAAATTGATTGAAAAAATAAATTAACTAGCAATGCTAAGTATATGTATGTATTGTCCCATCTTATCAAAACTTCTGTCCAGGGCTCATTATTGTGTTTCATCCACTGCCAATCTTCATTATTGCTTAATTCTTGTTTAGATTTTAGTGAGAACTCCGCGGCGTTACTCGTAAATGCTTCGTTGTCGGAAGTGTCTACGTGTTTTCGTTTTCTTCTTTTTGGTGTGGCTTCATCGCAGTTGAAGACCATATTTTTAACTTTGTCAACAAGCTTCCCTCTAGCTGGAGTGGGTTTTCCTGTAAGGGACGCATTTTTCCTGACAGCTGGTACATAATATATTCCCATTGTTTCGGTCGGAAATAACGTTATTATTTTTGCCGTAATTTTGTTATATTCTTCGTGACGTAAGCGACTAAAATAAAGATTGGTAATGGACACATAGCTACATTCTACGGAAACTCACTTTCTTATTATATAAGTATATAAGTGTTTTATGATTATATCACCAAGTCTCGTTCGTCTTTTGTTATCTAGCTGTTTTTGTGTTTGATAATATGTTAACACACTGTTCCCCATGGGACTTGTTTGCAACAGAGTGTACAAATCAAAATCAGCAAAACTTTGCACTTCTGTAAAAAACGTGTTTAAGTCTAAAATTTGAATATCATCAGCGGTATTCGTGTCGGACATGTTAGTGTCTACATTTATAGTAACTGTAGAAGCATTAGCTGTGTTTTGATCATCTCCGTTTACAGGTTGGTTTTCTTTGTCCTAAGAAACAGTTGGATAGAAAACAATATAGATGCTCTTAGATAACCTAATACCTCATTTTTCATTTTCAATAACTTCCCCTCGATCAACTTTCTCATGCCCAGAGAATTGAGGATAAGTTCCTTCAAATCTCCAATGGTAAGGTCTTTTAGAACCTCAAAACATATATCTTGATCTACAAATATAGTTAAAACATGTTAAAAAAAAGTCTGCGGGTAGCCGCATGACTTAAGCGCATTTTTGGTGTAAAACAAAATCCCTTATTTTGTTGGATAGATAAGCAGTACATTTACAATTACAAATACGTAATTTTTACTTACCCACAAATACTTTGATTACTTCTTCCGTACATCCCCAAGACTTTAATATCGTTTGCACATCGTCATCCATGTTTTCAAAATAAACACTGGCAAGAAAGGCAAATGGAAATGAGAACTAACTGTGCGTAGTGGTTAAACTTTCGCCATATAAGCTTGAATTAAGTGTATCATGCTCTTTAAGCTTAATTCAAATACTTTCTTATTCATCATTCTTAAAATAAATATTGCACCGCTTCTTTTCCTTTAAATAAGTGTACGCTAAATTCATACTGATATCTTACAATATTACCTGCAATACGACTCCCGTATTTAAAGCAAGTGCACAAGTATACTTAAATTAAATGATTTATATTCCGCTCAAATGTATGATTTAAAACTTACTTAGTGTAACGTCAATTACTTGTTAACATTTGTTTTAAGAAATTATTCTTAAAAGAAGTATGATTTTCCTTTGTTTAAGATTACCAAATCAAATACATCTATCAGTTTAAACAGAGAACAGATTTTTATGTGTGCATGTACCCCTCCGTCTAGTTTAAACTCTTCAACTGACACTGCTATAATGTCAACTTCTCATACTTTAACAGCATCCGAAAATGATATGCAAAGGTGTGTGTTTGATAATGCTATAGGCATTTCCGAAAATTAAATCATAGTACAGAGGATCTCAGCCTCTGAGACAGAGGATAAATTGCATTGTGGAAAAATTCTTGGAAAGTTGGATTTATAGTTCTAACTCTTAGAACCGATTTCCAAAAACTGTTACTGTTATGAAAAAAAGTAATAATATAATCCTTGTATGCAATTTTCTAAGCTACAAATTTGCAACCCAATATTTTTTGGTTGTAGTTATAGTTCACGAGATTTTTGTGAAAAACATACATGAAGCAGCGTGAATTTTTGTTAATGTTTAGAACCACAAAAAAGAGCCTTATGCAAAAATTCAGTTTTTTTGGAATTTTTCCGATGTTTAATCTTTTTTGTCTTTATTCTCAGAACTTATCTATAACTTTTACGTATTTATATTAATCTATTTCTAGTTTGTCTCAAACTTCCCTATCGTCTGGAACTAATGTATTGGGAGAAATTCAAAATGATAATATGACATCCATAAGAAAAAGGTGAATAATTTTTGCAAACATGAATTTGGTGGTCTTATTGATATTTTTACAGATCTCACCCACATACATCTGCTTCTGATAAGGACAATAACAAAGAGAATGTGACAATACCAGATAAAAAGTAAGTACAATCTAAGGAAATAAACATTAAATTTTATTTTATTTCCTTATCAACCTAAACCATAAGGCTGACACATTTTATTGGAATGCTCTTAGTACATAAATAAAATAAGTTATATAACTTTATAAGCATGTTGGCCAGTTATCATAATTTGGTCTTTCAGGATGAAAAGGTGCGTTGCAAGATATTTTGGAGATATTGTAAGGCGTGATGTTTGCCACATGTGCGCACCTTATCTAAATGGTATGAAACAATTGATGCTGCTCCGGGATTTATGAAGGAAGCTGCAATTGCATTAAAATCTAAAGCCAAGAAGATAGGTAAAAATATCTTGTGCAATTTAGTGTTTGACGAAATGTCCATTCGTAAGAAGCTAGAGTGGGATGGACAAAATACGTATGGAAACATCACCTCGGTTACCAACGAATATCAGGACACATTAGAATATGCGCGAGAAGCTCTGGTATTTATGGTGGTAGCATTGAATGATAGTTGGAAAGTACCAGTTGGGTACTTCTTTTTATCTGGCCTCGCAGCTTCAGAAAAAGCCAACTTACTTAAAAATTGCTTAAATTTTTTGCATAACACTGGCGTTATTATAACATCGGTTACCTTTGATGGTGCACCAACAAATTTCGCAACGACCGAAGTACTGGGAGTGAATTTAAATGTAGACAATTTGTGTACATATTTTTTGCATCCATGCACAAACAACAAGATTTATATTTTTCCAGATCCATGTCACATGATAAAATTAATTAGAAACAGTTTTGGAGACTTAAAAAAATTTGACATTAATGGTGAATCGATTAGTTGGGAATATCTACAACGACTATGTGACTTTCAAGATCACCAACGGTTACACGCAGCTACAAAGTTACGCAACAGACATATGTGAAAGAAAAAATGAAAGTGTCATTAGCGGTTCAAACTTTAAGTAGAAGTGTAAGTGAAGCTCTAGACTTTTTAAACTTGGACTTGAATGTTCCTGAATTCAAACATTCAGAAGCCACTGCAAAGTTTTGCAAAAAAATGAACATTTTATTTGACATTTTTAATTCCCGGAATCGACTCACAAAACGATTGTATGAAAAACCATTGTCACCTGCTACAGAAAAGAATTATTTTGAATACCTCGATGACTGTGCCCAGAATATCAAATCCCTAAAAACTAATGGCAGTTCTGTTCTACAGTCCAGAAGAAAGACAGGTTTTTTGGGTTTTTTTAATCTGTATAGAGAGTCTAAAGCAATTATATTGTGACAGAATAAAATAAACATCACATCTGGAGTACCTACTTACATATAAATTATCTCAAGATCACTTAGAAATTTTCTTCAGTTGTATAAGGAGCAAAGGTGGTTACAACAACAATCCTACTGCAAAGCAATTTCAGCATACGATGAAACGGTTATTAATTAGGACTGAAATGGAAGTGAAAAAGCTAATGCAGTAGCTCTGGATAGCATTTCCATTTTGCACTGCTCAAGCTCTTCGCAACAGAAGCCTGCCCTTGGTGACTATGGAGCCTATGATAGTTTTAAGGTAATACTGGATAACAATTTTTGTGTAAATAGGAACGAACTTGAATTAAATTTGTATGCTGGGGATGTTGTGGCGTATATTTCGGGTTTTGTAGTTAAAAAATTGAAAACTGTAGTAAAATGTTGGAGCTGTTTAAACGTGTTAGAAGGAGAAGGACACATTACAAGTCAGAAGGACATACGGCAGATTATTAAAAGCGTCGAGATTTGTGATCACTATTTGTGTGACCGGAGAAAAGTGTTTTTCACATTTTTTGAAAGTGAATGGACTATTAGGCATGCGTTTCAAAGACCTAATTGAGCGCTTGATATATGAAGCCATGGGTAACTTGCCTGCTAATGTTGATAATGTATTTACCGATCATCTATTTGACAATGATCCTTTAAGTAATCATTTTTTAAGTTTATCGAAACTTATATTATTAAAATATTATAATTTACGACTAAATTATGAATTATCTAAATTAGAGGATAGTAAAGTTCGTGTGAGATCTGTTTTAACTAAAAGTATTTTGTTTCAAAATCAATAATTTGTTACTTTTTAACCTAAATACTCTGCCATTTTTTCAGATCACTTATTATTCTTTATACTATTAGTTCGCTGAGTTTTGTAGTAAATGTTGATTAAAAATTTTGGGATCTGCATGGTACCTTACATGCATAAAGATTATGTATATGTTTACATCTCCATCAAAAGAGAGAATGTTTTTAGTCAAATAGCCTACTGACTGCCAATGTATGTTGAATTGTTGATAAATATTAAAGAATTTCATTTGCTTTCGATAGCGTTTTTTTTGTACTGTAAACTTAGTAACTAGGTATTCAAAACCATTGACTTTATACACTAATAACAATAATAATAATTTCCAGCTTCATTTGTGTTGCCAATTTATAAGCTTACTCCGTTTGTCTAGTCTAGTGTATAAAGTCAATGTCGAAACGAATACTGCATTATATCAGGTTGTTATGCAACTCAAATTACATACGCAATTGATAAGTGCATAAACAACAGTATACCTAAAATTCGCACGCCACTGCTCACGGTTTTTTAAGCTAGTTGCACATCGAACGTAAGCGTAATCAGAACCATAATCATAAGGTTCAAATGCCTGAAATATATGCCCTTTGCTACATGGAGTTACGCTTATGATTACGGTTATTGGGTGACCTTCATCACACATAAATTGAGTTCAAATTTTTCAACTTTGTGATTGTGTTTCTGATTATGTAAAAAAGCTTATAGCGCATGCTCGCATTCGTCAGCTGATTGTTTATAACCTAAATCTATTTTGTTTTCAATTTCAAGGTGCCACTTTTACTCAAAATAAACCGCTATTTAGTCTAAATAATTTGCTTATTGCTTGTTTAGTGTATAATAAAAAAGAGTATGTCTGCGTCTGCCCTTGAGACAATAGATGTGGAACTATTAATAAGTTTAGTTCAGCAATTTCCTTGCATATGTAACAAGAAAGACCCAAATTACAAGGATAACGTAGTTATTAACAATGCTTGGACTGAAATTGGAACTACAATTGACGAGCATGGTACGTAAAAAATCATAAGTAGCCTTTAATTAAGTAAAGACATCACTTTCTTTAGTGGAATCCTGTCAGACAGTTTGGAAGTATCTCAAGGAGAAATATTGCAGAGAGAGAAAGGCATATGAAAAACGAACATTGAGTGGAGCACCTGCCGAAGACACATCAAAATGGGAATATTACGTTGCCATGAATTTCTTAGATATTCATATGCAAAGACGCACGTATGTGGATTTTAGAACGAATATGTGGTAAACTGTTTAGCTAACTGTTAAGTTGCAGCACAATTTCTAATCTGAAACGGAAAGTTGAGGATACTAATTCTATTGCCGATATTGAATCAACTGAAATTGTATCTCAACAGACCGATTATTACGAGACACAACATACAGAATATGAAGACTTTGTGCAGGAGAATGCTTCTGATGATCAAAATGAACAATTTAGTAAGTGTATGTCTCCCATAAATTCAAAACTAATTTCATTTTACTTGCAGATCAGCTTGCATTAAAGGGAAAAACAATTGTCATCAATAAGTCCAGGTTGCTTCCATACACTTCGGAAACCCCTCAGGTAACACCTATGCAAACGTCTCTACATCTGACGAGACAAACACACCTAACCGAGGATGTTGAATCTCAGGCTGCTCAGATCTCAACATCTAGTACTAACAAAAAAAGAATTCTCCATGCACAGCCTTCTAAATTTACAAGCGTTTGTAACAATACACCAACAAAACCCGCGAAGAAGGTGCCAAGTGAAATTGATGCGGAAATTGTAAAGAGCCTGCAGTTTTTTAGGAATAAACAAGTACAAGAAGATGAGGATGATATATTTTGTAGAATGTTAGCCACAGAGATAAAAAAAATTACAAATCCTGTAGTAAAACATAATCTTAAGAAAACATTATTTCTTCAGGTGTGGGGTGGAGACATGTAAACATTATTAATCACTTAAATAGTATTACATTAAAATAATCATTCAATTTATTTAGTCCTTTTCACATACTCAATTTGGCCCTTTTTAAATCCTTGAGGAGACATAAAATAACGTGCTAATTCATCTCTCATATTCTTCGCTTTAATTGTTGAATTGTTCGATCCTGTTTGAGTAATTTTTGTCATTATTGAATTATGCTCTATTTCATGTCTCCACTGTCCCAATGACACGTCACTATCTGCATATCCGGGAGGGCAATATAATCGTTCGCCTATTGGTATAGTGGTTTCCTCATTTTTAAGATAGTTGTGCAAGCAGACACAACTTTTCACAATAAGATCAACTCTGTCTGGGGTGGAATTAATACTGCGACTGAAAATGCGCCACCTAGCCTGCAAAATTCCAAACGAATTCTCTATGCACCTCCTGGCACGACTTAATCTGTAGTTAAAGATACTTTTAACAATATCAAGATTTTGACCAGGATATGGACGCATTAAATTCTCTTTTAAGGGAAATGCAGCATCTCCTACAATGAAGTACGGAACTTCCCTACCAGATTTACAACTAGGTAGTACATTTGCAAGTGGCAAATTTAAGGTATTGGACTCCATGGCTTGTCCCAGATATGAATCGTGAAATATAGCACCATCGCTCAATGAGCCAAATGCACCTATATCGATACAAACAAAATTATAATTTGCATCACACACCGCAAGTAGGACAATACTAAAATATTTTTTGTAGTTGAAATATAATGATCCTGAGTTTGCCGGGCAATCAATCCTAATATGTTTGCCGTCTAATGCTCCGCAACAATTAGGCATGTTCCACTTCAGCCAAAAATCATTTGCGATTTGGGAAAACTTGGCTTGAGTAGGTTCCGGTAGATATAAATCAGTCAAAGCTTCACAAAGGGCAATCATTGTTTGTTTTACGATTAAACTAACAGTGGACCTGCCAATGCAATACGAAGATGCAATGGAAAAGGTGTTATCACCGGTTGCCAAAAATCTAAAATAATAACCAAATAAAATAATACATCCCACCAGTAAGTTTACCAACCGCAAACTTATTGCAAGACGTTGACTTGGAGATATCACTCCACGGTTACTTTTTTGATTTAAATGTGGGCCGACTAAACTCAACAAATGATCAAAGCGAAAGGAAGACATTCGAGTATAAGTAAAAAACCATTCACGATCATACATTTTCATTTCCAAAAAAAGCCTGCAGTATTCTCCATCCAATTGTCTATTCTGATTTAAGGGTCGCACCTACCATCGTCTTTTCTTAACTCCATTACCCAGAGTTGTTTTATTTCGATTACGAGTGTACAATAGCAATGTTAAGCAAAACGCATAATCATTTTTAGCCATTTCTTGTTTGCCGCGTATTTCAGGAAAATTTCAAAATTAAGGTTATAGATTACCTTCGATGTGAACACACACAAATTTTACGAATTGTGGTTACGTTTATGATTTCGTTTACGTTTGATGTGCAACCGCCTTTAGACCTCTATCTTTCATAAAACGTAAACAATAACATTGGATGTTGGTTGACTACAAACTCTGTGTAAAGGATTGGTTATGGCACCTCTATGTTTATTTATTCCTCTGAGGGTAGGACCATAAACACGATATGGCAACAGGCGACAGATAAAATTGGCAACGCTGCTCTCCGCGATACGAAGGAACTTGTGCGCAGATTACAAGTCGTTTATCTTTGTTTATCATCATAAATTAGGTATATGATTTCTCTTTCGGCACGCCATTTTGTTACGTGCGTTTGTAGGAGCGGATAAACATCATAACAAATACCAACGTTGCCAAATTTAACCATCTGATTAATGATATGTTAGATAGATTTGTGGTTATGTTTCTTCGTCTTTATCAGCTTGATGTTTAAGTCTCGTAAGTGTCGTTTTGTGTGGTTTAAATTTTGAAAGTGTTTGAAGTTGAAGTGTACCGTATTACACAGTACCTGAAATGGGGGTGTATTGCTTTGAATGTAATAAAATATATTCAACTCAGAGTTCTTTAAACCGTCACCGACGTGAACTACACAATTTAAAAAGTAGTGTCATTCTCATTAGTTACAATGCAGCCGCTAGTGCTTACAACAGTTTCCTTTGCAATGAAAGCGGATGTGATAGTGCCTTTATCAATGGGCATGATCTGAGACAGCATTTATCAGACATACATAAGATCGAAAAATCTTTAATGCAGTCATTAGAGTTTATTTCAGTAGAAGGTATGTCACAGTTTTACTTATATGCTCGTATTTAACAAATTGCTTAATTACAGAATTTGAGGATTGGTTTAAAAAAGAACAAAAGGAGACTAATACAAATTACTATCTAAATTCAACAAGAACCACACATTCCGAATCAAAAACGTCATATTACTGTTGCAATAGATCAGGTAGGTAGGTTGTGAATGGACAATTATACCTATAGCGTAGTATAGTATAGTGCATCTGGGTCTAGTGATATTTCATTGGAAAGGTTTTTCATTCTCTTTATAATAATATGATTAGTACTTTTTAAGATTTGCACATTACACACATGACATACCTACATTTTAAGGAAAAGTACAGGAGCTAAAGGAAACTCGAAAAAGAAGCCTCAAAAGTCAGGGTTCGTGCAAAATTAATCAATTCTGTACTAGCCAAATAATACTACAGAACAACATTCAAACAAACCATTGCAGTGTACGTTACTTCTTCCAACATTATGGACATAAGAAAGATGTTCAGCATATACGTCTGCATAAACTGGATAGAGAATCCATAGCATCTAAATTAATTTTAGGGGTTCCCTTTAATCAGTAAGTTTTTTGTGAATTTGTAGGTATATTTCTAACTTTTGTTTTTTAAGTATTCTAAGTACATCAAGAGATAAAGTTGGCGTTGCAGGTAAATTAAGTCGAAGTGATTTATTACTACGAAGAGACATTAATAACATTAAAAGTGCTTATAGTATAAACGTTACTGAAGGTTGCAGACATAAAGATGATGCGATTAGTGTACAGCTATTTGTATCTGAATGTTTGAAATCTGAGCGAAATCCTGTTGTCTTTTATAAACCTCAAGGTGAAGTTTCTTCAGAATTTTAGTTAGAGGAAAAAGATTTTTGTATAATATTAATTACAGAATCACAACTTAATGTGATCAATTTGTTTGCAAGTAATATTATTGCTATTGATGGTACACATGGTGTAAATGGTTATCATTTTGAAATGACTACCATCATGGTAATTGATGAATATGGAGAGGGATTTCCAGCAGCATGTATGTACAGTAATCGTAAGGACACTTACATTTACGAAGTATTCTTCTCTAAATTACGAGAAAAGGTGGGAGCAATCCAGGCGAAGGTATTTATGAGTGACATTGCTTATGCTTATTACAATGCATGGTGTAAAGTCATGCAACCTGTACAATGTCAGCTGCTTTGTTCATGGCATGTTGATCGTTGCTGGCGAAGTAATTTATCTAAAATTCAAAACAATGCTCAAAAGCAAGTGATTTACAAAACTTTAAAGTATATCCAATATTTATTAGATGAGAGAGAATTTGAAATTCAATTGGAAATATTTGTTAAACATTTGAATGAACCAACTTTGCAAAGATTTTAAAACATATTTCTTAAACAATTATTTTCAAATAACATCACAATGGGCTTATGCATATAGAAAAGAATGTAATATTAACACTAATATGCATTTAGAAAGCATGCATCGCACAATTAAATACTTCTATTTAGACGGTAAAAAATTAAAAGGTTGGACAAAAGCATTCATATGTTGTTAAAATTTATTAGGGATAAAAGTATCGAAAGAATAATTAAAATGACTAAAGGAAAAACCACAGCTCATCTTACAAAAAATCGTGCGAGACATCGTGTTGCTTTAAGTGTAACTTATTACACCTTAGAATTAGATACACCAATGTGAGGTGTTGTTAAAAATACTAAAACAAATGAAAGTTTTATTGTTGAAATGCAGTCAAGAGTACCTTGTTGTTCAATAAAGTGTACTTTCTGTGATATTTGCATACACTCGTGTAGCTGTACATGTATTAACTTCACTATACGTACTACATTATGTACTCATATCCATTTTTACATTATTAGTACAACAAATGTTGGCATTACGCCTGTACTACAACAAAATAATAGTGATAATCATTCTCAAGAAATTGAGCCTAATATTGAATCAGTAGAATCATTACTTAAAACGATCAAAAGTACAACTTTAACAGATTTGAAAAAAGAATCACATTCATTAGCACTTGAAATAGCAAACGAAATCAATACTAATATACAGGGTGTTACACGACCGTTCGAAAAAAAAAAATCGGGTTGTAGAGGGCATCAAAACAAGCACTTTTTCCAAATAAACCGAGGGTCCAACGTGTTTCGTTTGGGAGCCACCTCCCAAAGAGTGTTGAAATCTGCATTTCTTCTTTAATTTTTTTCTCAGCAACCATAAGAGTTACAAAGTCGGGTGGCATGTCTTTGAATAGGTTTTTGGGTATGCTCTTTCCGATTTTGCAAATTTTTTTTCAAAATTCCTACCCCTAAAGGGCGCACCCCTAAACTAGGGTGCAAAAAAAAATTCTGATTTCGACGAAATTTGGTATCTGGGGATTTTTTAACATGAAAATCACGAATCTGAAATTAGTTTTTGAAAATTCGAAAAAAAAAGTTCCACTGCAATTCTTGGCGGGACAACGAAAATAGAGATAATTCCACGAAATTTGTTGTGTACATACTAAACGAGTTAAGGAACAAAACTGTCGAACAGTTTTTTAAAATAACTTTTCAAACAAAAGTTATACTCATTTGAATGTTGGTCCTTCGGGTCGCGAAGTGTCCCAAGCCTACTAGTAAGCCATAATTTCGCATGTGTTGGTTGACAATGTCGCAAAAACAAAAGATTAACGGTTTGAGTCGATATTTTGTTATTTGGAATTAATTCGGTCATTAAATGATTAAA